ACCAAGTTCACCAGGACCAATGTCCCCCTCGTGACCCCATGTTCACCAAGTTCACCAGGACCCATGTCCCCCTCGTGACCCCATGTTCACCAAGTTCACCAGGACCCATGTCCCCTCGTGACCCCATGTTCACCAAGTTCACCAGGGACCCATGTCCCCCTCGTGACCCCATGTTCACCAAGTTCACCAGGACCCATGTCCCCCGTCATGAACCCATGTTCACCAAGTTCACCAGGACCCATGTCCCCCTCGTGAACCCATGTTCACCAAGTTCACCAGGACCAATGTCCCCCTCGTGACCCCATGTTCACCAAGTTCACCAGGACCCATGTCCCCCTCGTGACCCCATGTTCACCAAGTTCACCAGGACCCATGTCCCCCTCGTGACCCCATGTTCACCAAGTTCACCAGGACCCATGTCCCCCTCGTGACCCCATGTTCACCAAGTTCACCAGGACCCATGTCCCCCTCGTGAACCCATGTTCACCAAGACCCATGTCCCCCTCGTGACCCCATGTTCACCAAGTTCACCAGGACCCATGTCCCCCGTCATGAACCCATGTTCACCAAGTTCACCAGGACCCATGTCCCCTCAGAACCCATGTTCACCAAGTTCACCAGGACCAATGTCCCCCTCGTGACCCCATGTTCACCAAGTTCACCAGGACCCATGTCCCCCTCGTGACCCCATGTTCACCAAGTTCACCAGGACCCATGTCCCCCTCGTGACCCCATGTTCACCAAGTTCACCAGGACCCATGTCCCCCTCGTGACCCCATGTTCACCATGTTCACCAGGACCCGTGTCCCCTTCGTGACCCCATGCTCACCAGGACCCATGTCCCCCTTGTGACCCCATGTTCACCAGGACCCATGTCCCCCTCATGAACCCATGTTCACCAAGTTCACTAGGACCCATGTCCCCATCATGAACCCATGTTCACCATGTTCACCAGGACCCATGTCCCCCTCGTGACCAGTGAACAACTCATGATGTTCCATTCTTGTACAATTATCCAGTCAGCCTCAGCTATCACCATTAATCACCCTTCTACATTCTGGCCTTTTGACTAGGAAGAAGACTTTGGCACATAAGGATTGTCAAGTCTATATTTCATCAGGATGCTGTTACATTTTCCTGAAGACTTTCTGAATACACATGTACTTACTACATCTAAGGTACAGTTTAACAAAACAAAAGTGACCTCTAATTTTAGTAGGGGTGAAACGGTATACTGCGGTATTAGTAGAACCGCAGTATTTTGCCTTCGGTTCGGTATACCGTAATGCAATCAAAAAAATCGGTATTTTCGGTTTTCGTACCATTATTTTATTAACCTTTTCTATAATGTCTAGAAATCGAATCATTTTGTCAAAATCTATGTATTTCTTTGCTAGACGGTTGCTATTTTCACACAAGTAAGTTCTCATATACCAAATCTAAACGGACCGAACCGAAGGCCTTATACCGCAATATGAACGTACCATGGTAAGAGCATACCATTTCACCCATAATTTTTTTGTAAATTATAAACATAGTGTGTTATAAACATTTTGACTGAAATATACAAGTGACCACATCCCCCAAAATTTTCATAATAGGCATGTTTGTTATAAATGTAGTTTAGTGTACATTAAAACTACTGATACTAGTTCATCTAAGAGGGGGCATAACAAACAAATTCTTGAGTACAACTGATCTAATCTGGAAACCATATTTATAACAAACATTTAAAACTAATTAATAACTCTACAACAAATTATTCAAACATGCTTTTTTGTCAGATGTTGAGATAAAAACTGATGATTCGTACCAAAGAACACAATGTACAGATAACATAAAACAATGACTAAAAATAGAGCAAGAAATTGTAATTTGGAAACTTTGACATAAACAATAATGGTAAACAACATAAATCTTGATAATATCCTAACTTGACAGCAGTTTGGGCATTCAATAAACTACAAATACAACTGTTAATCTAATAAATTCAAATAATTAAAAGACAAAAATGTCCTCGAACATTACTAACTGTAGGTACAGATGTCCTATATTATCAGATAAACTATGGTTATCACAAACTCTAAGGAACCACAACATTTAGTTTGTTATAACCAAAGTTTATTGATTATATGCATTTTGTTAAAATATCAAGCAAGTGGCCACGACAAACAGTAAGAGTAAGAATATGTTCATTATCCTGAGTGAGTGAGTGAGTTTAGTTTTACGCTGCTTTTAGCAATATTCCAGCAATATCATTGCAGGGGACACCAGAAATGGGCTTCACACATTGTACCCATGTATGGAATCAAACCCGGGTCTTCGGCGTGAAGAGTGAATGAATGCACCACTAGGCTACCCCACCGCCCCATGTTGTAAACATAGTTTACTGTAACCATGGTAACTAATAAACAGATAACTAGACTCAACTCTGCCTCATTCCTTTATTCATCATCATCATGACCTGTTTCAGGAAGTACGAACTTGAAATAATGCAATAACTTTCCTTGGTTTTCCCATTTGCTAACACATCTAATTAGACCTACTTACTATCAGGTGGTGCTTGTTGACCAAACCGATCTTAGTGCTACGGTTATCGTAAGCCCAATGAGGAGATACAATCATCTTAGCTCTAAGATCGAGTGAATATAGTTTTACGACGCTTTTAGCAATATTACAGCAATATCATGGTGGGGGACACCAGAAATTGGCTTCACTCATTGTACTCATGTGGGGAATCAAACCCGGGTCTTCGGCGTGAAGAACGAATGCTGTGACCACAAGGCTACCCCACCGCCCCAAATTAAATAAGAACCACCAAGGTCATAGAAATGTCTGAAGTGTGTAGAAAAACAACATTTTAATTACATCGACTGACCTTTCCTGTATGCACTTACAGGGGTGGAAATAACTTTAAAATTGCTAGTGCACTCCGGTACAGTGGCACATGTAAAATCACTTGCCCTGATAATATTTCCACTATTCCTGCTGTTTTCTTGTTGATTTTTTAAATAAACAACATAATAAATATTGGAAAGTCAACTGGACACTGGTACAGTGTGATATACAAATTTGCTTGCCCGACAGAAAAAAACACTGGACTCGGGTGTCGGGCAATGGGTTATTTCCACCCCTGACTTATCATACTGACCAGGGGCGGTGGGGTAGCCTGGTGGTTAAAGCGTTGGCTCGTCACGCCGAAGACCCGGGTTCGATTCCCCACATGGGCACAATGTGTTAAGCCCATTTCTGGTGTCCCCCGCCGTGATATTGCTGGAATATTGCTAAAAGCGGCGTAAAACTAAACTCAGTCAGTCAGTCAGTCATACTGACCAGGAAACTGAATGATTGTGGCCCCAGCAAAGACCTGCTTGTACATACATGACACACCCTGTGTGGCAAGTTAAGGCAAAATAAGTTATTCCAATAGGCAGAACACACTGTAACATGTGTGCAGTGTTAGGAACTAAAGTCCGGTTGGGTTCAAATGAGAACGATGAATGATTAAAATAAATATCTCGAAATAGGGATAAGTGCACAAAACATAGAAAAGACACTGTGAAACCTCTGTACCCAACAGGATCTGAAATCTGACGTTTTATGATCAATCGCGGAAAAAGTTGTTTAAGAAACCATCATGTAATATTGTGCTATTTTCATGCTTCACAGCGAGGGGTGACAAACGGCTGGTGGAACAGCACCAGCACACATTCAGGTGCAACTCAGCACAGCCAGGTGAGATGACCCCAGCTGGTCAGGTGCTGTTCTATCAGCTGTTTACCATAACTGTGGATATTTCTTCTTTCAACACATTACAAACTGAATATGTGAACATATGGTATATGGTCAAAATTAACATGTCATTAACTGAGAATTTGAACATGGGTTTTCTGTTAACATGCTAATAGCAAAAGATTAATGTTATCAAGGGAAAAATGGAATGTGCCTTGTGTTTACATGTTATTGGTAAAAAATAACGTCATTAACTGAGAAATTGAACATGTGTTTGTGTTAACATATTATTAACCAAATTAACATGTTATTAATTGAGAATTTGAACATGTGTCTTTCTGATAAATAAGTATGTACACATCTCATGTTGACATGTTAATAACGGAGACTTTGTGTCTTTGTAGTGTTGACTAGCTACGAATATAAATGTTTGTGTGTGTCTTGTGTCAACTAGATATTACAGAACTAAAACAGAACATGTATTTGTGTCCTGTCTGAACATGTTATTAACTGAGAATATGGATGTGGCTTGTCCTAACATGTTATTAACTGAGAATATGGATGTGGCTTGTCCTAACATGTTATTAACTGAGAATATGGATGTGGCTTGTCCTAACATGCTATTAACTGAGAATATGGATGTGGCTTGTTCTAACATGCTATTAACTGAGAATATGGATGTGGCTTGTTCTAACATGCTATTAACTGAGAATATGGATGTGGCTTGTTCTAACATGCTATTAACTGAGAATATGGATGTGGCTTGTTCTAACATGCTATTAACTGAGAATATGGATGTGGCTTGTTCTAACATGCTATTAACTGAGAATATGGATGTGGCTTGTTCTAACATGCTATTAACTGAGAATATGGATGTGGCTTGTTCTAACATGCTATTAACTGAGAATATGGATGTGGCTTGTTCTAACATGCTATTATATGGATGTGGCTTGTTCTAACATGCTATTAACTGAGAATATGGATGTGGCTTGTTCTAACATGCTATTAACTGAGGATATGGATGTGGCTTGTTCTAACATGCTATTAACTGAGAATATGGATGTGGCTTGTTCTAACATGCTATTAACTGAGAATATGGATGTGTCTTGTTCTAACATGTTATTAACTGAGAATATGGATGTGGCTTGTTCTAACATGTCATTAGCTGAGAATATGGATGTGGCTTGTTCTAACATTCTCATAAATGAGAATTTGTACATATATCTAGCATGATTATCAGGAATATAAGTAGAACCAGAGATCTCTGGTAGAATATTATCTCCTCCTTAATTTGGATCTATGTGATTAAATACAGTGAAACAAATATCCATAAATAGTATTAAATAAACAATGATTTGTACACTGATTTATCCAGAAACTGGTGCGAATATATCTTTAAAGGTGAACTATTTTTTCACATCAAACCAGAGGTTGCTGCTTTCCATGCACCGAGATTACCCATAGGAGGGAAATAAAACAAACGCATCTACCATTAGTTCTTTCCACATACTTTTACTCAGGGACCGGTCTACAGTCTTGTGGGATCTGGGATTTCATCAAATTAAATAAGTAGTCCCAGAAATTGCTGGAATGAAACTATTTTGTCCCATACTGCTAAAATAAAGGGAAAAATTTATTTCACCCAAAACACATGGTTGAAAGACATTTAAAAAAAAGAAAAATTAGGCTTATAGTTTTAAGTTTATAAAAATAACTCATTTTGCAATTGTAACCTAACCTCTTGATAAATACCCACACCCCCAACAAGAACGGCAAATAGTCGGCCCCTGAAGAACATACAGCAACAATCATACCCCTGATGGTGAACCATGTCACAGTAGGCAATGAGGGCTGGAGACTGGCTCCTGGTTGTCTGTATGTTGCATCCCCTTTATGACATCATATTGCGATCTATTCCACTGAGTCTATTTAAGCCCAAAGCTATACAGGATTTCCTCCTTCTAACGTTCTGTGCATACAGCAGGCAGTGAATGACATACATAAAATTTGGGTGAGTGAGTAAGGTTTGACGCCACTTTCAGCAATATTCCATCGATATCATGGCAGAGGACACCTGAAATGGCTTCACACATTGTATCCATGTGGGGATTCAAACCCAGGGCTTGGGTGTGATGAGTGAACGCTTTAACCACTGGGATACCCCACCGCCCCCATATATGTTGGGATTCTTTCAGTTTGAAACAGAACTCATAATGCAACAAATATATGATATTACTTCTTAAAGTGATATTTTATCTCAACTTACAAATGAATATCGTCCCAAGGGGGGGCCTAGGTATACATGAGTTAACCACATTAATATAACATCTGGACATCACACATTTGTCCATTGTCTCAACTGCAGGTTGATCTAACAGTCCTTAAAAAGATGGACTGTGTTTCATGTCCTCTCTGGTCCTAATGCCTCTATCATCAATATACATTACAACAAAACATCTGTACACAAACTCCTTCCTTCACAGTGACTGTACCATTTACACATTGATGTTTGTCACATACTCATCGTCTTCATCACCCTCATCTCCACCTTCCATTGCCCTGTCGTCTTCCTCCACCTCCTCATTATCTTCCCCCTTCATCAGTCCCAGCAGCCAGTGCCTGGTTATAACTGTTAAAGAAGTTCATCATTTTGCTAGCCCCACATTTATACGTAGCCGGATCTACACTTGACCCAGATCCTGTACGGCTTTCAACAATATGTCCTTCACCTTGGTCAAAACCAATATTATGACCTTCACCTTCAAGGTCATGACCTTGACCTGCAGGTAACTCTGAATACTCAAACCCTTCACTTTGTCGGTGACAAAGATTTAAACTTCTTTGTCCTATGCCATGGTTTCTCCCAGGGTAACTTGTCTGCTGCTTCTCGGTAATATTATACATTCGTGACTGTTCACTGGACGCTGTGTGGTCCGGGAAGGGACTTGGACATCTGACGTGAAGATGTGTAGGTCTGAGAGGTGCTTGTCTCCGTCTGCTGATAAGGCACAGGGTACTGATATGGGCGTTGCTGCCTTGCCATCGGCGACAGCGTTTCACAGACCTCCAACACTGGGGATGGGCTGCCACTTACACTTTGCACATTTTGTGAGTCAATTCCTCCAGATCTAGAACTTCCTTGAATCAAAGGATTAGCACTGCTGACAACACAACCAGTTCTTGACAAATTAGCAGGAATCATTGTCGGCTGAGACTGATTTCCAAAATAGTCCGACTCTGACCCACTCGAACATGTACCGCCTTGAACTTCTTCAATATTCAATCGCCCAAAACGATCTTGAGCGAATTTAAGATTCATTTGATGCATATACGGGTGATTAGATACATTCTCCGTCTGGTCACAGTAAACCTGACACTGTTGTCCCACATTCATCTGTCTCTGCTCACTGCTACCATGATTCAAACAGTTCCCAGACACCTCCTGCGGTGCAACTCTATCAAATTCCTGTAAGTGGGGAGGCATTGTGGGTAATGGCCTCCCTCCTTCCCCAAATATCAACCCGGATGAAATAGAATCCTTAGAATCAGAAGAACTCTGTCGTTCAAACTCATCCATCTTCTTCAGTTTTGCCGGATCAGCCATAGGAAGATAGTCATTGTCCACCTTTTCTGATGACTCTTCTGGTTGTCTTGTCATCGGCTTCTCCTTATCAAACTGCTTCAGGGCCGCAAGTTTCCGTGGATCGGACTCCGGAATTTCAGAACTTACACTGTAATTTGACAAATTCTTACCACTCAGTTCATCATCAAACTGCCTCAATTTTTCCATTTTCTTTGGATCAGAGTCGAAATTGTCACACAAAGAACCATCCTGATCCTGTTTGTTCATTGCTTTAATCCTGGCAATCTCATCAAAGTGGTCACTGAGTCCTTCCTTCCTTGCATCAGCCATCATCTGAAGTCTCAGCGACTCAGGCAGCTGTGCTGGAAGAGACACACACTTCTGCATATCGTCCAGACTGTTCCTGTGCTGGTCGTAGTACTGTGCCAGCTTGAATGGGACTGGCAATTCTTTCCCTGATGTCTGCTTGAAGTACTCGAGTGGACTTGTTGGCTTGTTTGAGACTTCCTCCTTTTTGGGATCAGTCGGCAGCGAATGGGACATCTCCCCCGGGTTCGTTGCGAGGACAGGATGACTGTAGTTATCACCGCTAGTCACAGACATGTGGGCAGACATGCAGCTACTCTCCGACACTGGAACATTTGAAAATACATAAAGCGGTTATTTTGATTCCATTCTATTTTCATTCTCTAGGGAATGCTTCAAGACAAACATTGTTTTTCTCCGAAATGAGGAGCTTAAAAACGTTTTGGCTGCCCTTTGTTTTAAGACAAATTTATTTCTAAGCAGACACAGAAAAATAGTCTGATCTCATTCCCCAAATATATGCCCTCAGGCAATTTAATGGTCTGTCATTAGTAAGAAATACCAGTTTTTATAATCTATGACATGTTGACTGAAATCAACATACTTGTGCTCTGTGTTTCTCTCCATCGGTCTTCAATGGACTCTAAATGATGAAGAAGCTGAAAGAAAACAGAAATGGTAATACCGGTAATCAACAAATGATTCATTCATCTAGGCGCCAGTGAAGATCAAGGTTTACTGTAAAAGGCAACTAATGGAATCGGGTGGTCAGGCTCACTGACATAGTTGACACACGTTTATAGATGTATGTGATGTGTAGATGGGTGCTCATGCTTTTGATCACTTGATTGTCTGGTCCAGAATGGATAATTTACAGACTGCCGCCATATGCAGGATTATTGCTGCGATTGGCATTAAACAACTAACAAACAAACATTCATTCAGGAGTAATAAACAGCAGAGCATTTCAGGAGGTAAATCCGCAAGTCTGCTTGAAGAGCACTTCTTGTCTACTGCCTGTGTGCTTCATGACAATAAATTGCCTATGACAGTGTTGGCCCAGTGATCCCCCTGCCAATGGAGAAACAGTGTGTACCTTCTCCATGTCAATCCTGGCTTTCTTGGTGCCCTCCACTGCTTTGGCTGCACAACTCATAAGATCAATGACGAAAGTTTCAGGACACTCTCCAGCACGTTTGTCATGGAACAGACGACACAGTTTAGAGTTGTCTCCCTTTGTTTCATCTTGCAGATCACTGAAGTAGGAAGTCTGTCAAGGAGACATAGAATTAGGTTGTATGACATACTATGCCTCAAGACATCAAATGCACATAAAAATACTGACAGTTAAAATTTTGTCCAAACAGAAAACTTGTACTCATTTACTTTGCAAAAACATGCTTTTATTTCAACATCCTGATTTCTGTCTAAACCAGACAAGATCACACAAGTCCAGTTTATACAGGCTCCACTGTACAGAGTAAAACCTAATGCCACTAACATAAGCATCCTACTTGACCTTATAGAAAACAGCAGATCTGACACCATCTTCTATAATGAAACACATACAGTAAGTGTGTAAGACATTCAATCATAGTACTCTCTCAACTCGTCTCCATTGGTCAAAAAGTACAGGACTCGAGTCAGATGACCTCACTCTAATTTCAGTAAACGTTCTCACCAGAAACTTCGTATCACTTTCCCTCCTTTCATCATTGGCCTTCTCCCCGCTACATAATTCCAGCAAAACCTGCAAATAAATGTAAAACAGAGCTGAAACATAATATTCCTAGCATCTTTCTGTAACTTCTGTGTAGTACTGTTTTCCTACAAACTACTGTCATGGCCAGTAGATTTCATCTTGTTTAAATATATATGCCAATCAGAGATACAAAAATACTTTCCCCACTTAAACTCTTATTCAAGAATATTCAAGATATGTTTATATTTTATCCAAAAGAAAATGCAGATGTTTCATTTATAAAAATCTGTTAAGGTTATACTTCTGAAAAAGTGTGTCTGTCCTTTTGAGCAGTATATATACATTCCACATTCTGTCTACCGCTGGCAATGTTATTGCAGCATTTTAGTATTTATGGAGACACTGAAAAAGACCTGAAGGCCAGATACATTTTGATCTTTTGTGGCATATATGTAAATTTCCAGTCTGTACAATAAATTTGCTTTTCAAATATTTGCCCACTTTTCATTATTTTATGCTTGGAAGATTTATATACCAATTATCAATACCTTAAAATTTGTAAAGATGATGAATAACTGTGATTTTCATACTCTACTGACCAAACTTTTTCAGTAGTTTATCGAATGAGTCATCAACTTAGCATACCTTAAAAGAAAAATTAATCCTCTTTTTGTAAAATTTCTGCTTCCATTCAGAACACCCTAAAGCCTGACCAACTGTTCGATGGTAAAGTTAGTGTTTATTCTACTATTATCTGTATTTTGTTTGCAGATTTTGTACAAAGGACTAGTACAATCTCTCAACACATGATTACATTGTTTAGAACTCACCACGCCAAATGCATAGATGTCACTTTTGATGGACATGCGTCCTCCAGCCCTTATCAGCTCAGGCGCCAGATACGTCTTGGTGCCATAGATTTTGGAAGTTGCTTGCTTCTGTGAGATGTGAGTAAACCTCCCTGTGAGGACGCTGCTTGTCTTGCTGTTGGCGTACTGAGCTTGTCCCAGATCACCGATCTTTGCTTCAAAGTGCTTGTCAAGGAGGATATTGGCACTGGCAGACAAAAACAGAAAGTCTTGAGTTTTGAGTAGAAGTGAGTGAGTGAGTTTAGTTTTACACAGTTTTTAGCAATATTCCAGCAATATCACGGCAGGGAACACCAGAAATGGGCCTCACACATTGTACTCATGTGGGGATTCAAACCCAGGTCTTCGGTATGACGGGCAAACACTTTAACCACTAGGCTACCCCACCGCCCCTTGAGTAGAAGTGGAAGTGAGTGGTTGTGGCAGTGGTGAGTGAGTGGTTTAGTGAGTGAGTGAGTGAGAGCGAGTGATAACCTACCTCTTTATATCACCATGGACGAGTGGCTTGGCGCCAAACCGATGTAAGAACTGTAGACCTCTAGCTGCTCCGGCTGCAATGCCAATTCTTTTGTCCCAGAGTAATGGAGGCGTGTTGTCCTGGCAACCAATTTTATGTAAATATTTCATATCCATCAAGAAACAATAACAATTAAATTTTACCCTTATTCAGAGGCCATCCATATTTTTCTTTACATTTCTCATCTCAAAACTCAACCAGCAATAAATACACATTCTACCATGACCATACCGGATTCTGATTGGTTAATCGAAGTCGTATAATCGAAGAGGTATATAATCACGCTATAATACCTCTGACTTTCCAATACAGTATGTATTTTTTTTAAATCTTAATAACGTGGTTATGGTTGAATGGAGATAAATGTACTGTGTTGGAAAATTAGAGGTATATAACAAAATCATAATAGCTCTAAATTTTATTTTTTTTAAATCAAATTTAGAGCTATTATAATTTCATATATAATTTGGATTTTCCAACACCTGAGTTTCAACCAGAAGGGGAGCAGTAATGTTTAAAAATCAAATTAATAAAAGAACGGTTTTAGAAATTGTATTAGTAATTTTATGACAGGTAAAAGTTGAGAATAGATACGTACACCCTTTTCAAGGGTTCCTTTACAGAATTATATTATTACACAAATGTGTATTCAATAAACCAGTCAGTTAAACTTTTCATCACTATCTGTTAAATATGCAAATGAGGTCACAGATCAGGAACTACTTTCAGCAGACTGCACATCAAGCAGGGGATTACTTCTTCAAAAACTATTGCACAATGGTCCCTAAATCATTAGAGAGTGGTGTATCGATGTGCAAGAACTTCTGTAAACATTCCTGGATGTAAATCATTTGACACTGTATAACAAATGATGCAGTTTACCCAAGATTCAACTTACTCCGCAATGAATAGCAATATGTCTAAAAATTCCAAAAATTCAAGCATGGCATCGTGATATAGAAATTATATACCTCAGTATGTCCTTATCAGAAATTTCATATATTGCATTATAAATATTAATTATACTTGTTAAAGGCTCACATTATACAATTTTCACTCTTCATATTTGAGATTTACCACATGGAAACATACTTGTCTAATAATCAATATTTACTTAACATTACATAACTTTATTTGCTTACCTTACACTGTAACCTGTCTTCTAAAGACCCTTTGACCATGTGTTGATACACTAGACACAGCGCCGGTCCGTCTATTGCATACCCGTAAAGGTTCACTATATTCTCGTGACGATACCTGAACAGAAACGAGGAGATAGATCACTGCTGAATGAAAAGATGTTTTTAAAGATATTAACTGAGATTGGTGTTCAGCTTTTTGTACTGTATATTATATCAGAAAACATGTTGTCAGTAACTGAATTTGCTTCGGGATCAGGTTAGACTCAATGACTTGGTTGACACATGTCATTGTATCCCAATTATATGGATCAATGTGCACAGTGTTGATCACTGGATTGTCTGGTCTAGACTCGATAACTTAAAATAAAGACTATTTAACCCAGACTAGGCAAGGCTTTATCATGTGCTAGACATAAAGTCTCTTCAACACTGCAGGGTTATTACACGTTATTTCTCTTACCTTAGTAAAGCTCTCAGCTCACTAAACTGTTCCGATTTGTCCCCTTTCACATCTTTGTTTTCCTAAAACATGTGAAAATACATTAAATATCGATACATTAACATGAACTGTTACAAGCAATCCCATTAAAATCACATCTTAAACTCCAGTACTGAATGAGTGAGTGAGGTTTATGCTTTTGGCAATATTCCAACAATATCATGGCAGGGGACACAAGATTTAGGCTTCACACACGTTACCCATGTTGGGAATCAAACCCGGGTTTTTGGCGTGATAAGCAAACTCTTTGACAACTAGGCTACCCCACCACCTCTTTACTCCTAAGTATGCTGAGACACATCTCTGCTTGAAGCACTGATCGCATTATGTAAATGCATCGGGTAAACAACCAGTCACCAAGCAAACTAAATTCAGACATTACGAAGATAATCCTCATTATCTATTTCAGTGTAAACATATACAGATATAACATCAAATATTTATTTCTATATAAAAGGTTATGATAATAAAACTGTGTTGTTTGGAAATATGATTCTGTCACATGAAGCAAATATTAGAGTAATGACACCTGTTCATGCATACTGTACCCCCCAAAAAACTGAAAGCCTTTATAGTATGTCAGACATTCTTTATAATAGATGAGAATTTTATGATCCACTGTGTGTGCTGATATTATATAATATTCTTGAATTAAAGAAGTTTTCAAATAAGAACTGTGCCTGTTTAAGTAAATACAATATTGTTTGAACCATTCACACAGGTGCCACTTGTTTCAGTCTGAAATGAAGTGGACATGCTAAAGCCTTGTGATAATCAGAGATAGGGGGCATATGAACATTTGGGGGTTGAGCCCCATCCGGGATTGAACCTCCACTCTCAGAGTCAGGTACCCAATAGCCAGCACACAAAGTCAGCCATCTAACCCACTCAGCCACCGCAACTCCCACAAAATGTAAGCCTGACAACTAGCAGTCTAGATCCCACACTTTGTGTACCCCTCTGATAAGTGTAAATGTGCACGTCTCCCACAGCCGAAACTTATGAATACACAATATCTATCAGAAGAAACGTAACATATATCAGAGACATTATACATAGGATTACGCTTTCTCGGTCAAGTACAAATTCTATACCGTCTAGGGTGCAGTGGAATGGCCAAAAGCTATGAATACACAATGTCATTTATCAAAAATTTCTTAATGGCTTTGCTTATTCTTAGCTCTCGGCAACTGGAGCCATGCCAATTTATTCTTATTTGAACTGATCTAGCATGCTAGTCTTTGAGTTGGTTCAAAGTACATTGTTCAAGTGATTAAGGAATTTAGACAGGCAATGGACGGCTTCAATGGGTAATCTATGGCTAGTTGTTCTCAAGTTTAACAAAGGAAAAGATATTGATTTGGACAGTAATATTTAGGACTATACTGTATTACGGGTATACCCGTATATCGCAATACGCTTTTTAAACAATACGTATTGCAATATTTTTTCAGAGAACCGGTATATTGGGTAAAGAACATATGTGAAGTTTTGTGATTATCTCTATGGTTTAAATTAAAATATACACAGACTTCCATTCACAACAAATGTTTTCCTGGCGTTATTCAATTACAAAACGGTATACTGTAATGCTATAAACTGTACCAAAAAAAAGAACGAAAATGGCATCCCTAACTATGCCACCTAACTTTGAGATTGCTGTTATCAGTACCATAACACATATGTTTAGGGACACATTATGTAGAAAATAGGATCAACATGCACAAGTAGTGTAACTCACTGTCATACACTTAAGTTCCCAATAAATCGCAATACGTATCGCAATATGAGTACCTGAATAGCAATATATTGCAATACAATTTATTTGCCAATACACAGCCCTGGTAATATTTCTCAAACAAAGACTGACTCTTACTTGTAGTAAGACCCTTTGGATCATGATTCAGCAATGGACTTCCAGTTCTGGATAAATTGAGATCCATATTCACATTTTCAACCATTGAAGCCTGCCATGGCATTGAAAATACTGAGGGGGGTTTTGAAATACATATGAAAGACCACAGTTATCAAATGTATTCTTTACAAATTTTAACCTTGGGAAATTCTCACTACCTTTATGGACACTATAACTGACTGACTGAGTTTAGTTTTACGCGCCGCTTTTAGCAATATTCCAGCAATATCACGGCGGGGGACACCAGAAATGGGCTTAACACATTGTGCCCATGTGGGGAATCGAACCCGGGTCTTCGGCGTGATGAGCCAACGCTTTAACCACTAGGCTACCCCACCGCCCTTATGGTCACTATAAGTGTACTTGTAAGTTGTATACTATCTGTGGCGGTTTGAGACCCACGTCTGTACAAACACACATATGCCAAAATGAAATGTGTTTACAAACTTTAATACTTAGCAGTTCTCTGCCCAATGCGCCATGCAGTAAAACTTTGAATTGCTTTTCAGTCCAAGAACTAATTCAAGGAATTTTCAATGGACATTTCTGCAATAATTACATTCTCGTATCCCCATATCTCGACACCATATAATACAATAGGCACTACAGTTGCATTGAATGCTGATAAACATGATAAAGGCAATCTTATGGTAGAGACATATCACATGGCTTCACGAACTGGCTGTCCTAGTAGGTTTGGATCCACTCACAGATTAGATATTGCTAGGGACCCTATGTTCCAAACAGCGGTTGCTAAGAGACATCTGCATGCTGCCTGCTAAGAGTTTCAACTCAGTGGAGTGATGTGAAGGTTTTTCTGATAAGACACTCTACTAGTGGTGGTCCGATTAATTGAAATAATCGAAGATTGGTCGCAGTGACTAAACGACCAAGCAATCGATCATGTTTTCTCATAATTGAACACAAACAATTCTGGAACACTTGTTTTCATTAACAGTATTTTTCACAAGGTTCGTTTTGTCTGTTACATTTCATAAGCACTACAAGCTCATTTCAAGTCATGATTGAATTTATCTTAAAGACTCCAATAAATTTATGTTTACTATAGCTAGTCATCATTTAAAGATGTGAATTTTACCCCAAACCCCCAAAGAACTACATGTTTTTTCCTTATTTTTATGTGCATTAACAAATTTCATTAATGACGCTAACCAATTATTTTCGATGATTGATCGGTTGTAATGAACCAATCATCAATTATGAGATTTTAACCAATTCCCAACACTACACTCTACAATGTTTAACGGGAGCTTATGGGATCCTCGCATACAAATGTACAAATGGAGTCGTTTAGTGAGTGAGTTTAGTTTTACACCACACTCAGCAATATGCCAGCTATATGGCGGACAGATGGAGTAAGAGTGAGTGAGTGAGTGAGTTTGGTTTTACGCCGCTTTTTGCAATATTCCAGCCATATCACAGCGGGGGAACCCAGAAATGGGCTTCACACATTGTACCCATGTGGGGAATCGAACCTGGGTCGACAGCGTGACGAGCGAATGCTTTAACCACTTGGCTACCCAACCGCCCCTGGAGTAAGAGATTTTGACACTGCTCTCAAAGGTAGACAATGCTCTCAAAGGTAGACAATGCTCTCAAAGGTAGACAATGCTCAAAAATATCTCCATGTAATATTTTTTTTTTATATTTGAGGCCTTGGCTCTGAATGATTACAGTAATCAGAAGCTGCTATACTATATCATCAAATATTTACAAGTAGATAAAGAAAGTGGCGTTTGATGGAGCCCGCACTTTATCTCCATTGAAGATGCAATCGCAACATTTCTGACAATAATTAATTTCAGCATTTAACGAGCAGAATTGTTGTTCAGGTGGCACCAATAAAATGTGATGGGATTTGAACCCAGAACCTTCTGATCAGATATTAAACACCTTGTCCACATGACCAAAGAGGTTATCCCCAAGCCGACAAGATAGGAATGTTATCTGACACGTGACTCAACGACTTGTTACATCAAACAATACATTTACCATTTTCCCAAACTTAACGTACTTCTGTCAAAACGGAACAGTTCTGACACAGGAAACTGTGCGCTCTTACACTATCCAACATCATTCTCTCTATATGAGCACAAGAGGTGCATATATTCCCTTATAGAAAATATTACCATAGAGTCTTAGAATGGATTCAAATTTTCAACTGTTACTTTAAACATAATTCAACATCCTGTATATTTATTACACATTTTGTGCCTCACACCAAGGGTGGAAATAACCCATTGCCCGACGTCAAAGTCCAGTGTTTTTTTCTGTCGGGCAAGCAAATTTGTATATCACACTGTACTGGCGTCCAGTTGACTTTCCAATGTTAATTATGTTGTTTATGTTTAACGAGGGCATATTTCCCGTAATCACTCATACCGAGTTGGTTATTCTATTTATTACCCATAATGTAATTTAAAAGGAAGAACCACGAAATAAACACCACCTGGAGACAGGACTTGTGACCTTAAACAGCTGATTCGTATTCATGCGCGTATTAAACCTAACTTCTCCAGCGGTAATAACATAACTACGCTATGGAAATAGTACATCATAAAATCGCTTTAAAATACAACAAAATTATTATGCCTGGAATAATTAATTAACATTTGTTAATATGATAAAAATGATCTTTTAAATATATCATTGAACTTAATAAGAGCTAAACATTTATTCGATCAAGTCAGTGCGACGGAACATCGTTCATTCACGACTGACGTGTTTTCTAGTGACGGGTGACGGTGTAGTGTTGAAACACACTCTGGCAAAAACCTGTCAATTTTTTGGAAAGTCAACGGTTAAAAGTTGGGAAATCTAAAAGACAACCATCCCACGAATACATCTAGAAAAAGTTTTCTGTCAAGAAACTCAACAAGTTTGAAGATTAAACATTTTGTTCTGTGGAAGGCCTGTTACACTCTCGTCTAAGTAGAGTACAGCAGTTCCAAGAAGGATAACTCTAGTCGGAATCCGAGTCTATGAAATGTGTCAATCTCTGCATCGGCTACTGGGACCAACCTCTCGGATTGATTAGGAATGCATGGATATAAAAAGTCATCTTGAAGAAGAACACTTAGCACTGATTCCGGTAAGAAAGGAGCTGTTTTCTGGTTCGATGGCATGGACGCCGTGTCCGACTTACTTGTTTCACTTTCAGAAAACATCTTTAGTCGGTATCTTGCTGTTTCTATTTCCCCGAATTCAGTTTCAACAAAAACAGGTTTTGGGAATTCAAGGGCTGTAAAATTTTATCACTCTTCCTATTTGGTCACCGTCAACTTTAACTAGGTAAGTGACCTTGATCGGGGTTAGCCTAACGGCGGCCATGTTTGTTTACAAACAATGCAAACGATTGTTTTGGTGGGTTTTTTAAAGATTATATAATTTAAAAAGACTACTATTTATAACACAGTTTTATTCCAAAATAATAACGTCTAATAAAAAGAATTTTCATATTCTTTAACCTTAATGTTTTCTTTTTTAGATCTCGGATTGTGTGATTACACTACATAATGTCAATTTATCAATGAATCGATGAAACTTTATGAATGAGCGTAGTGTGTGAAAGTAGTTCCGGTATCCAATGAAATGTACAAATATACGATCAACCAATCAACGTCGAGAATCACTAAATTGCACACTGTGCAAATATCAAAAAGATATTACACGGGATCTCCTCACCCTCATGGGTAATAAAAAGTTATTTCCACCCCTGCACACAATGTCTTGTGAAAGAAACCATTATTTAATCTTGCACCAAAGAATAAGAAATTCACTAATTCTATCCTTCAAATCAAAACTAATTCTAAACAGCTTATTACAACAGCTTGTGAACAATTAGTGAATATTAGCTACTGCCTTCCCCTGTCCACCTTTGTTTTCTTATCACGCATGTTGTTTTCCACGAGTAGAATTACAGCTATCTTCTTCCTAGCTCTATTCATCTGATGAAGGAGAAAGAACATTGTGTTCTTCATATTTTAGAAGTTGACATCAATACATCTCCCCTTTATGTGCTTCTATTTAAATGTCATTCAAAGTCTTTATTTATTTAATAATTAATATGTTTGAAATACTATAATTGAATTAAATTAATCACACCAAAGGAAAGATAACTCCAAACTTGTGACCTAATGCAGAAGATTTAAAGTCTGTGATCACAAGACATTATTAAGAGTGGGCATGTTTCTGATCTCATCACTTGTTATGTCAGAACTTACAACCAGTATGAGGTACCTGGGACCATTTCTACCCCAAAATCATCATGACATCTAATTTGTGCAGAGGACATTTAAAAATTCAATGGTTGTTCATACTGAATGGTTGCATTTGAGAGCTATAATTCTGAAACAGTCGTCAGTGTCTCAATATTGCCATAAACTGACTGAAACGTAAACTCCTGAAACATTTCTGTCATGTTCAAGCAGGACTAGCTATATACTCTGTGGACTATTGAAATAAGGTAAAACCAAGTCATCTGGGTCCTGATCCACAGAACGTTTGTAGCACTACAACATTCTGAAGCCTATGGTACACTATAGAGTTACGACAGGTCGTACGACAGAAGCTTAATCAGTTAACATTACGACTTCTTAGCGTAACGGAACAGGACTGGTCATAAAAAAACACAAATGTCTAAAGTTGACAAGTTTTAGCTAACATTTTAACAAAACAAATCACCATAAGGCCAGACCAATTTTATTTCTTGTTTTACAGATCCGCTGGTCGTATTTTTTCAAGAATAAGAAAAAAAAGAAGAAGTTTATTTTCCCCCGCTCAAAAATTATAATCCTAATGTTTTATTGGTCAAAACTGTAAATTTACAAGAATTTTTTTTTTTAGATTGTGTTTTACCCCATATACATTTAATAAATTGACAAAAGTAAAATACTTTTAGTATTTATATATTTTTATTTTTTCCCTCCTGCCTTTAGGTTTTCTGAGGACAAAAATCCGTAAAACAAGAAATAAAATTGGTCTGGCCTAATAAGAAAATACCTGTCTACCATGTTTACCTCGTCAAGCCTCTTAATGGCACACCTTGAACACCTCAGTAGGCCTTGATAGACAGTTCCGAACGCACCAGCACCAAGTTTATGTGAGGAACTGAATCCTTCCGTAGCCTCAAACAGTTCCTTATATTCAAAGAATGGCGTGCCTACAAGTGCAGCTGCATCATTGAAGCTCAAATTATCACTTTTCATGTAACTTTTTAAACTCTCAAATCCCTTCATTGGATCTGACTTCTCAATCGATGAAAAGTCAAAAGAAGAGGAGTCCGTGCTTTCAGATGCTTTCGAACTTTTGTTTTCTGTTGAGGAAGCAGATTCTTGAGGAACCCGTTTTCCAAACATTGAAGGTCCTGACGGGATGGAATTGGTACTTTTAGTGCCTGGAATCACTTTATCGTCATACTGTTTCTCCTTCTCGGAAACATCCACATGGATCTTGGATGACACTTTAGATTTAGTGGCTGTGACTTTTAGTTGGTTAAAGTTGATCTCGTTGGAGTTGGAATCATCCACTTGCGGTTTCGGAGGTGGTGGCTTTGGTAGATCTGGAAAAGGATATACCATAATTAACACTTAAAAATTAGGCAAAAACTAAATAAATATATTTCTGGTCCCTGTTGATATTATTTTCAAGTGTCTGCAGGATTGTCATATTTTCCCCAGAGCAGATCACTAATCTAATCTTTCCTGCAAGTATACTCTTTAAAAAGTAGGGGAACTTCATTATTAATTTACGATTGAAACAGTTGGGAGATATATCAGAGTCAATCAATGTTGATATGATAATAATGAATGTTTTGAGAGGGCATTACCACTTGCACTTCCTTATGACCATAGTTGTTTGTACAGCACTTTCTTTCGCTCTTGAAAGATGATTGGTGTTTGGTGTGAAATTTGCATGCGTAAGATTTTCATTTTCAAAAGAAAAAACAAAAACAGCTAGAAACAAACACTAACAACTGTGTGATGCAAAATGATTGTCAAAATTAATGGACTACAGTGATTTATCGACCCTCTCAAAAAACGTCACATTGCATTGTGCACGTGCATCCCATGCATTGTGTTTAGGGGTGGTGATAAAGAGAAATGGTGGTGCTTTCATAAGATGTCTGTCTTTGAAAAGTTTATTAATGCATATATTTCCTATCCCAATTGAAAGTTCAGGTTCCCCTATTTTTTTTTAAGAGTATACAAGCTGCAAATAATGCACAAGACATGACCTGGATGTGTGAGCTGGTTGTGTGATGACTGGGTGGGGGAGATTAGAAAGCCTGTCGGGAGTGTCAAGTACAATTTTAACATAGCTCCACTGAAGCTGCAGCCAGGGTATGCTATTCATGGAGACAAAGCTTTTCCTCTACACAAAATGTTTCAATTCAGGTTTGATCTAGACAGAAAAATAGCAAAATGAATAGTGTCTGCAATGTGGACCAATGATAATTGTCTCACTTCTCTTCCAGAAACACCAAACTCTACTTCAACTCATTTTCAGAGACAAAGTCTAATCTTATATCCATGGAAACAGAAGAAATAATATTTCCTGAGCAAAAAACAGCAAAATGTTTTGTAAATGTATAGTTTTCATAGTTTAAGTGCATACAATCTGCTATAATCATGATGATATACAGTGTACCTATTGGAAACATACATATAGAATATTTCCAAATATCTTCATAAGACCTTTCATGTATCAAGTTTCTTCCAGTTTCCAAATCTAATTTATATTTCATTACAAGGGATTTCTAGATTTCTCTTGCTATCTCTCTAGTTTGCTTGTTACTTCCAAGATTCAGGTATTGATTCCCCAAATGGGTACAATGTGTGAAGCCCCTTTCTGGTGTCCTCCGCTGTGATATTGCTGGAATATTGCTAAAAGCAGCATAAGACTAAACTCACTCACTAACTTGTATTTACTTACCATCTGTGTTGATGCAGGAAAGACTCGGGACTGGTCTGTTTGACGGATGTTGTTCCTCAAAGTCGCTGTTAAAGGCCTTCTCTGGCTTGTTGGAGAGCTTGGGCTCTTTAGCAGTGGCAACTAAAACATATTTTTGTTAATCATAAAGCACTGTAGGATGCTTCCTTACGGACATCAGTTTTTCAGCTATGTATACGTTTACACCAGATCTTTGCGTATCACCTACAAACGATGAGGTATGGCGGCCCATGTGTCAATGATGCTGCCATTTACTATGAAGGGTTGCATCACCTTTGGAATGGCAGAAACTAGGATTATGGGTTTGAATCCAACATTAAACCCAACAATCACAATCGCATGCTCACACCAAACAAACAGACTTAAAGTAATACAAAGTGTTAAAGGGATCTAAAAAATTGCTCTTAAAATTATGCATGCAAGCACTTGGTAATCTGTAGTGACATCGTACGAGCAATTACTGGCAGCCAGCCAAGTCACTGAATCTGAACACACAATCCAATATGGGTGTATCTTTATAAAGAGATACAGACTGCTGGGAACTTTCTCTAAACGGGATCCATGCAAAGTTTCAAGAACTGGATCTTAAAAACAAAGTAGCTTCCATCAAGCTCATAGTCAAGAATGAAGTTGACATCTCAGTGTGATAACAAAATCTCCATATCGCCATTACCAGACAGAACATTACGACATGCAAAGAGGTTGAGATGACATGAAAACTCAGGAATTCGTGCGTCTGCTTCAGAATGGAAGCCATTTTGCAAAAATGAAATTGAAAGGACCAATCTGACTAAAATCAGATGTTTTACAACAAAACATTATTTCTCTGTGTGATCATTGTGATAAACATGAAAGGTAGCGTCAATTAAAAATGGAGGATGTATTGATCACACAATCAAACTAAGGGATACATGATTTTTCAGCCAATCAGGTGTCGGTACTCTTGACCACTTAATTACCACAGTAGACAAATATTCCTTCATTAGTAAATCCATTTAGGTGTTAATGCAAACAAACAGGTGCATCAAATAGCCACAACATAAAGTATTGTCACTTTTGTCCATTTGGAACTTATTACATCGTCTCATCAGAAAGAAATCTTTTTATTTTTAGATTGTGCCAGAACCTGTTCATTTTCTAGACTGGTCATAGTGAGGGACCCCCCCAGTTTGATTTGATTTGATTTTATTGTTGTTTAATGCCGAACTCAGCAACATTCAAGCTACATGAAGGCAGTTTGTAAGCAATCAAGTCTGGGCTAGACAATCCAGTGATCAACAGCATGAGCATCAATCTATGCAATTGGGATATATTGACATGTGTCAACCTACCCTCACAGAGACTTTACAGGATGTAAAACAGTCAAAATTTACCATAATTTTCCAGGATTTGCATCTCTCGAACTCGATTGAGGACCCTCAGTTTATTATGGAGGTCTTTGACTGTGGCATTACGGCTTCCCCAGTCCCAGAGAAGAGCTTTGGTTGGGCTGCCGCTGTACTTCTGATACTCAAGCTCAAAATACTTGATCTTATCAAAGCTGTATCCTATCTCTCCAGCTGTAAGAAAAATTCAAAAGTGTCTAAGATGTTGCTTTCTGAGTTGTTGTTGTTGATCAGTTTTGTGAGGTCAGGGTGGCCACAGAGCGTCTAAAGCTACAAATGTGCACCAATGAATTGGGGATTGGAATCTCATATTTCGTCCTTATTACTAACTGACCTGGGTTTAACAACACTTTGAACAGTATTCCAGTTAGCTGACGGTATGTAGGTTTAACGAGAGAGGAAAAACCAAACTGATGCAGATTAGATGTACAGCACTTTGGTAAAACCTACAAGCAATGGGTATAGTGCTGCACATCAGGCTTTGAACCTATGTCCAGGTTCCAGGGGTGTCCAAGGGATGCAGCTACAGGCACACAGCGGCTCCTTAGACAAATATGCCACTAGTGCCCCATTACCCTGATAATGATCCTGTGCATGGGTTTCAGTAAAGTGTTACACATCCAGGACCAGCATCGCCAAATTCAGAACTTCCCCCTAAACTGGGTAGCCTAGTGGTAAAAGCGTCCGCTCATCACGCCAAAGTCCTGAGTTCAATTCTTCACACAGGTACAATGTCGATTCATCACACAGGTACAATGAAACCACCAATCATGATACCACTTCTGTGATATTCCTGGAATATTGCTAAAAATGGCATAAAACCAAACTCATGATCTCTCTCTCGCTCCTCCTAAACTGATGTATAGTGTTATCTGACTGACCAAAACTTAAAGCCAACATGTGACCCACATTAACATACGAATGTGTTTTGAAACAATATTTGTTGCATTCCTGATGGTTTTAAAAGTGTCTTCAAACATAATACAAAATGCATTCAAAGGAGTCAGTAGAAAACAAAACTCTGAAGTTACAAGAATCCTTAAGTGACTATTCTTAACCTGCTTTATAACAAACCCGCTGGCCTCATCATTTGTAAGTTACTGGCTATCTATTATACAAGTGTAGCTTTAAGCACAGAGCTATCATTCAAACTGTCAAATACCTGTCTAGAGTGTAGAATAATTGTCACGTAATCGTCGAGCTTCGTTGGCATCTATTATATACATAGATGTCTTGCTTTTTATGATCGTCTTACAGTACATCTATAGTTATACGACGCCTGATTTATATATGATGAGTATTAAGCTAGATCCGTTGATGTCGCAGCTAGATTAAATATTTGGGATTGTACTTGAATAGGAACTTCCTATCGCTACCAACATACCAGATATCATGCGTGTACGCAGTTTCTACCAATCGTGTCAACGGAATCACCGCATTGGTTCGAGTGATGTACACAAGGACGTACACTGCTTCGAAACAATCTATCATGACGTGACACTCGTTGTCTTTGATTATTGTTGAGGCATTCGAAGACAACTTACCCAGATGCTCCCATGACTTGTCTGCATCCATTGACATGATAATTTCTCTTGTAACGCCATAGGGAATCTCGTAGAGATACTTCCCCTGCGCCATATCTATGGTGGCTTGACCCGTCCTTGACCTTGGATGAAAATAACACAAAATGTGAGTGGCTGGGGCTTCCCCGTGACGTCACATCATGAATATTCATAGCGCTAACTTCCGGGTTCAACACACCGAATCGTTGCTCTTTTCTTGGACAGAATAAGGATGGTTTTAATGTGCGTATATAAGACACGGTGGAAATCTGTATACTTCGCCGTTATGACAACATACTAAATGAGCACTGTGTTTCAGCTATGATAACACTATAGCGAAGGAGGGCTTTGTTTAACGTGACCCACGAAATGAAAATAGAGATGAACAAGTCTATATGAGATTGGCCTAAAAACATCACTATCGCATGACAGATTTCTTTGAAAAGTGCATACTATACTAGGAAAAGGGGTTTGTTTGATTGCTTAAAAATCTAACCGCTTATTTGCTGTTATTTGCTGCTATGAAAGAAGTTGTAGTGTGCTGAACTCTGATTGTGATGTATATCCGATTCAGAGTTATAATCCATGATTTCAATACGTTTTACTTTTCATTAAAGTGCTTTCTAGGAACATCGTCAGTGTATTCAGCTGAACCGGCTCTGAGGAAAAGGAGTGGCGCGCTTTATGATTTGGAAATTCGCATTATTAAACAATCACGTAATCTAGTTGTAATATTGCACCATAATGAGCTGGTCACATTGTGCTGTCACACGTATTTCTCATTAAACTAGATCCCCTACAAAATTGCTCAACGTGAAAATGTTTTATCTCAAAATGCACGTGCGTGTGCGTGTGTCCGCAATAAAATAACATGTGCTGTTAGAACCATTTCCGATTCCTTCAGCAAGTACAAGACCATCAAACAAAAACAATTCTAACAATTTTAGAGAAGCAATTCATGTCACTACTGTAACAATTCCCGTTTTATCACCCAGCAAAGTAAACATACTTACTGCTGAGGCCACGGTGTGTGGTGTCAGAATAATATCAGTTTGTCCACGCACGTGCTTAATCGCGCCGAGCACGGCTTACATGAAAAGTCACTGGCATACATTAAATGTGCCACCTAATGAAATGTGATCTGCCACGAAGTACCGGCTGAAGTGTTTGTTGTTGCTTTCATCAAGGATCTGGCGATATTAACATACATTGTAATCGTCAATAGGAAATTATCATTCTCGCGAAAGGATTTCGTGACGAGGAATTTTGTTATACTTTATGGCGGAGCCACGATACTATCATGTGTGATAGGCGTGAGGACTAAATCGGTCAACCGCAATGGGAAGCTGATAACGTGTTCAGTCTGGCCCCGGGATTACATAAGTTAGAATGTAAGGATTTATAAGCCTCCGGTGTATTTTTATCGCACGAGCGGATATCTCACGGAACAATCGTGAAAGAGTTGCAACTGACACTCTATTCTATATATAAATGTTACAAACAATCATTAGTTGACCGTGACGACCGTTGTGTCATGTAATGCTATGTCATGGAATGGTTGGATGACTGGATGGATGGATGGTTGATGGATGTGTGGATGGATGGACGGACAGACGATCGAACGAACTAACGGACGAATGAATGAATGAAAAAGGAAAGAGAAAAAAAGAAATAATGACATGTACAGTAAATTACGGTTATAAAGAACTCGAAGGGACTAATCCTTTTTATTCCCTATAACTGTAGTTTCGTTGCATGCATTTCCACTAAAATATAGAGGAAGTGGACCATACCTAACTGTTGGTAGATACATACAGATGCTGTACACACTATGCTCAAACTTACACATCAATAACACATCAACTCAATATCTGCACTTAGTGCTATTTCAGAAGAAATGAGTGAGTCTGTCAACCAGATCATATGCATTGTTAAATAGCCGACCTGTAAGTATGTGACGCCGCCCTCGTATGGGGTAATAGTGAGTGTAAAGCTTTCGCTCAACCAGACGAACGCTGGTTCGATTCTCAACACTGGTGTACGCAGTGACGCTCATTATGTCCTGTTGTTTGTTTATCTGGTAGAAGGGACGTGTTGTATATCACATAATGAGTGAGTGAGTATTGTTTTACGCCGCTTTTAGCATTGTTCCAGCAATATCACAGCGGGGGACACAAGGAATGGGCTTCATACATTGTACCCATGTGGGACATGGAACCGGGTTCTTCGGCGTGACGAGCGAACGCTGTAACCACTAGACTACCACTCCGCAACATTAAGACCAGTCAGTCAACTCTATTGTAGTTGTTAAACGCTGCACTCAGCAACATTCCAGCTACATGTCATCGGCGTGTAAACATACGGGGTCTAAACCAGACAATCCACTGATTGATATAATGAGTAGCGTCCATTGCCGTCGTTGTGGGATGACAACGGTACGATGTACAATCTGAAGGTCATCGAGAATCACAACCTTGTAGTCACCCCGTACACATGAGTTGAATATGTTAACGATGCATCGGCGTTGTTGCAGCCATAGAGCGACGAGACCGCATACAAGAATATGTTATTATTGACGTATTCTAACCCGACCTCCACAGTTTTGGTTGATGTACTACGAAGCCAGTTGCCAGTTTAAGTTAAAAGGCGAACTTTGCGGGAGGGAAACGAGTTGTGTTTCCACACCACGACTGTGGAATATATGAATTTATTTATAGCAAAATTAGATGATATAAAACAATCTAACTAGCTATTCCAATTTATGGCATCAGCTTCAGCTATAAAATGTATTTTAGAGAGAAACATATATTCTGTAATAAAATATTCATAGACAGTATGTCGGTCAAGCGTTGGATGTCTACTCGATTTATGAAACGGCGCACGTGTTTCATTTAAAAGGGCAGAAAAGGGCTCTTATCATACCTTTTGTCATTCTCCAATCTGTCTATCAAGCCCATTCTGTCTCACAGCTCCTGGATCAAATCACTTCCTTCAACACCGCCCTTTAAGTAACACATACACTTCACATAAAAGCAAGTCTCGATTTTCCTCAGGTTCAGGATCTGAATATTCAACCTCAATTAAACCCCTTTTCGTATTTAATGGAGTCATTTGTATCTACCCAAATTACACAATTTCAGAGACTAAGCGTTAGATTCCGACTTTTACACCAACTGTCATACACGGACCAAACACTGCATCAGATCTAACACGTGACCTGAGCATAGCGGGCTGATCAGGGGATTCCCCTAGAATTTCTAGTAATTCCGCACGTGTGTGCTTGTCACGCTCTAATAAAGAACTTCGTGACTCCTAAACATCGATGTATATATAATTATTTAGTCTTTGAATGGCACCTAGAATTCATATGTACAGCGTCAGTGAAAGCTACACGAGGCTATTGACATCGGGAGATTCCAACAAGGCACCAACAGTCACCAAGGAACGTACCTGTCCAGCGCTTGGGACTTACAATAGCGCTTGAATTAAACATCTGTGTCTTCCATTCAGATGGCTTGCATAATATCAACACCAAACACCACCACCCCGATCCATAGTCTCCCAGAGCGTTATATTACCCCTAGTGGCTTTTTGGGTGGGTGTTTTTTCACCTATCAGAACTGGTTGTCAGGTTCGCTGTCTTTGTGACACATGTCATCGTATCCCAGTTGATCGATGCTCATGCTGTTGATCACTGGTTTATCTATTTACAGACCGATATCTCTGAGTGCGGCGTTGAACACGAACAAACAAACAGAAACAAACACCTGTCCGTACCTGGGTTTACTCCTGATTTCTGTTTGCCCAATCAGCTACTGGCCTTCTTTGTCAGTGTCCATCTTGGTTATCTTATCGCTGTTGTTTGTTTCACATGTACATATACAGCTATGTGCTTTCATCTTTCATTCACCCGATCAAGGAGTAAGAATACTCCACAATACCTCGTGTTCCTCATGCAAAAACACAATTTGACATATATAGTCCCCCACACTCAGTCTATGTAGAGTTATATGTACATTATACTTACTTAATGTACTCGAACTTCTAGCTTTCTAGATTGTCCTGGTAACAGACACCTCCTGCCGTTTAACTAGTATAGGACTAGTTGTAACGAAAGCCATATATTACAAGTTGGTGTTGTGTGTCCCATCTCAACAGGAAGCGTGACTAATGCTCGGTCATAGTTCAAAGCGTAGAATATCATAGGAGCAGCCTCTGTGATGTTAAGTTGTATTCATTAAATATTAATGATGTGCATCAGCGATTCTGACCGACCAACCGATCCCGTTACTCGCCTCTCAGACAAGCACATGCCTGGCTTGCTCAAGACCAATTCTAACAGTGCCGGTTGCCATATATGGCATGTAAGGTGTTATGGTTAGGTTAGAGGGTAAGCAGCCAAGAGAGTTGAACGTCCTCTTTTTGGGCTCCGTTAATAAAGGCTTTATTAAAGCGGATGTAGAGATAAGGTGATCGTAATCCCCATACTTTCATGTCGGCTTTGGATAGTCGTATCGCTAAGGTTGCTTTGTGGAAGGGGGGTCTGGACGAAGCCGACGTATGTCGTCAGTTATAATTACGACACAGCATTCAAATCTTCATATTTTATTATTGAACGCAGCAACCGGTAATATTCCAGCTCTTGGAGGACAGCCTGTAAATAATCGAGTTTGGGCCAGATAATCAATGATTTATAATTAGACCAACGATCCGGCTGTCGAGGCTGGAATCAACGAGTGAGTGAGTTTAGTTTTACGCCGCTTTTAGCAACATTCCAGCAATATCACGGCGGGGACACCAGAACAGGGCCTTTCACATTGTACCCATATGGGGAATCGAACCCGGGTCTTCAACGCGACGAGCGAACAACGCGACAACCATTAGACTACCCGCAAGGATCAACAGAGTCACTGAGGTGCGTGTCCCAATCCAGTAAGTCGCGCCTCTTAAACGTTGCCGGTAAACGTGAAGTTACTGGAATCTGATAAATCAGTTTAAGCGACTGCTACGGGTGTTGTTGGGCTAGGTTACCCTAACTTTGAGGACGATGAATTGAATTTGAAACCGAAAGAGCTGATATGCAGATAAAAAGGGGTACAATATT